TTTTCTTTTCTCTTAAGATCATATCTTTGGAATCTATAGTTGCTGGAGTTTTGAATTTAGAAAAGTTTCATTGATCTTAGAATCTTCATTTGATCATCTTTTTCATCATGCTTATTCATAGTGTGATCCTTCATGAGATATAGCCTATATGCATGAGAATCCATGATCATGCATAGTATCCATTAATTACTTTGCTTCAAACGCATCAAATAATTTAGTCTCAGAGTGTCACTCCCTTTTCAAAACTTTTTCATCACGTTTTTACCTATGGGGGTTCATAATCTTTCCCTGTTTAAGTGGTCTGAGGGACCACCGTGTGTAGTTTAGCCATAACTCTCTTGTTCTTTATCTGATTCGATTCAAACCTTTTTCATTCTGTTTTGTATGATAATGCTAGTGTGTTGGGATCTTAAGAAGTGATTTTAAGGTGTGCAACTTCTTCCCATTTGGATTAGACACTTTTATGAGATTGAACCACTTTTGTACGATTCGAAGGGACAAAATTAAGTCCTTATAGGGCCGGATTACGTGACCCCAGCACAAGGGGTCGAAACATGGCTTTCCTATTTTAATTTGACATTCTAATTCCCTTTTTAGTTGATTGTATTCTTTACAATTTTATTTAGATTAGTTTCATGATGTATTTAAGCTTTGGGAGATAGTTTATGTGATTTGTGCTATGAAAGTATAATTCATAAGCTAGTCTTGCTCTATATGTAATTGCCGCATAAGGGGTTGGTATTTGAGTTTATTTATCGTAGTTATACAAGGTTAGAAATGGTTGTAATTGTTATGTAAAAATATTGGAACTTATTCACTTAGCGTGGTTTTAGCAAGTGGCTTGTTGAAGGTGTCCATTTTGCCTTGTTTTTTGGCTTGGAAATTTGTTCTAGTCTTTGTATCCACTTTCAATTGGTATCAGAGCTAGGCTCATTTACAACCACTTTTAGGGTCTTTAGAGGGATTATAGAGTTCCAAATAAGAACCCATGGCAGCCCGTTCGATACTCACCGAGTTGGTTAAGGAGGAGAGGTTCAATGGAACCAACTTCTTTGAATAGAGAAGGAAAAGTGGTTATGTGTTTCAGGAAAATGGTCTATTGTCTTTATTGAATTCTAGACCACCTAATCCGCATGCAATCAATGCTCCTCAAGTTGTTAAGGATGCATATGAGACATGGCATAACAAAAACCAAAGTGCCATGAATATTATTTTGCACCCATGAGTGATTCATTTGTTAAGGAGTATGAGAATTCCATATGTGTTAAAGATATCATGGAGAGCATGAAAATAAATACAACACACCTAATGAAGCTCAAAGGATCATTAGAATGAGGAATCTCGTATGTTGTAAAATGGATGATCACACCAAAGTGGGTGGTCATCTAAGAGAGTTCAAGAGTTGTATAAGAGAGAGTGAGAGAGCCGATCACTCATATGATGAGGTGACACAAAAGACAATGTATGTGCTTTCGATCTCTCCCTCATGGAAGACCTTTGTGGCCAATTTGATGGCAAAAGATGTGCCTACAATAGTGGAGAAGATTGCATTTTCATGGAAGGAGAAGAGCAAAGAAGGATAGCAATGGATGGACCATCTTCCATGGTCCATATGGTAAAATCTCATCAACCCTCATCTTCTTCTACTCCCTTACTCATTACTCCTATCTCTTCTTCTCTTCCTAACTCTTCTATGGTGAATACATGTAATGTGGGAGTGAGTGAGAGTGATAATGCTAAGAACAAAAAAAGAAAGGGAAAAGGAAAATGGAAAGGGACGGGGAAGCAAAAGGGAAAATCCTACTCCCCTTATCTATTTAGCCCTTACCCTCTTAAAACCCATGCCTACCCACCAAATCATGCTAGCGCCATGCCTTTTAGGCCTAAACTACCACCCACACCCATGATGGTAGGTGGGAGGTCGGTTTGGTCTTTAAGCCAAGATTATTCGAAGGTGTAATGCTTTAGATGCAAGAAATACGAGCATACCTAAAAGTTTTGTAAGTATCCTCCTTCTCCACAAAACCCTCATTTTGCTCCTAAGCCCAATACTGGTAAGCCTCAAGCTAATACTGGTGGAGGACCAAGGAAAGAGAGAGTTTGTGTGGTCCATGAGACTTTGTTGCTAATGAGGAGGTAGATGTGTGGGTTCTTGACTCGGGGGCCACTATCCATGCGACAAATTCTATGAAGGGCTTTAAAAAGTTTTATGATGTCAAACCCGGTACCCATAATCTTTATATGGGTGGAAATCAAATGGAAAGGTTCTCAGGAAAACGGGACTATGTGTTAGAGCTCACTAATGGTGAGACTCTCATGCATAGGGACACCCTCTATACACCCGGGATGAGGAAGAAGCTCATCTCGGTTTCCAAGATGAGTAAAGCCGGGTTTGTGCTCTTGTTCAAAGAGGAATAGGCCTATGTGCATGATGGCTCTATTAATGGAGACTTTGTTTTTATAGCCCACTAGGTTTATGAAATCAAAATGAAAAAGGAATTTGTTTACATGGATGATGATTTACAAATGTTTATTTTATGGCATTTAAGGTTAGGTCACATTAATCTTAGAAGGAGTCACTTTTTAGGGTGTAGAGGTGGCGGGCTGGCCAGTTACCTGCAAATCGACGGTTGTGATAAGACGTGGGGACGGGGATGTGAGCACTTGAAGCATCGGGATCAAGAATTCATATTATGATGAAAGAAGGATTGCTTGATAAAATGAATATCGATTCTCATAATAGATGCGAGGCTTGCCTTAAAAGAAAGATGGTAAAGAAGTCCCACCAAAAGGTCGAAAGGGTCTCTAGTCTTTTAGAACTAATCACCTCGGATGTGTGTGGACCTATAAGTGTGCTTACCATGGGGCACATGAGGTACTTCATAACATTCATTGATGACCATTCCCGTTTTGATCACACCTATCTCATGAGAAACAAAAGTGAGGCCATAACCAAATTTCAACAATATAAAGTGGAAGTTGAAAACCAACTAGGTCGAACCATCAAAAACCTTAGATTAGATAGTGGTGGGGAATACACCTCCCAAGCCTTTCAAGATCTTTGTGTCCAATATGGGATTGTCCACCAAACCACCATGCCTTATTCACCTGAAAAAAATGGGGTTGCCGAGAGAAGGAATAGGACCCTAGTTCAAATGGTACAAAGTATGATGAGTACCTCTTATCTAGAATTAGAGTTTTAAGGGGAGGCGATTCTAACCGCCACATATATCCTTAATCGGACTCCCACCAAAGTAATTCAATCAACTCCTTACCAACTCTTCATGGGCCGACCTCCCTCAATAAAGCACCTCAAGGTTTGGAGGTGTTCAGCCCATGTTCTCATATCATCCCAAAATAGGTCCAAACTTTATCCTAAAACCATAAAATATGTTTTCATAGGATACCCAAGTCATGGAAAGAGTTTTAGGTTTTATAACCTCTTGAATCGTAATGTGATTGAAAGCCTTGATGCCCATGTCCTTGAAGATAAATTCCTTGAGAGAGAATCAACCCAAAAGAGAGTAGACTTCCATGAGCTTCGGCCTAACAAAGAAATTGAAACCATCCCACTTAAGCAAAGTGAGAGAATAAAGAGACTACCTACCTTTTTCACTTACCTTGGGGAGGACTATGAGAGGATTAGTGATGAACTCGATGATGAACTTTATTCTTACCTACATGCTATGTCTTGTCCAGATAATAAGGTATGGAAGGAAGCCATGTAAGATGAGATAAATTCAATCATAAAGAACCATGTATGGGAGTTAGTCCGATTACCACCTAACCTTAGATCCATTGGATGTAAGTGCATATTTAGAAAGAAACTTAACTCCGAAGGGCGTATTGAAAAATACAAGACAAGACTTGTAGCAAAAGGTTTTACTCAAAAGGAAGGGGTAGATTATTTTGACACCTACTCACCTGTTGCCAAAATGCCTTCCATTAGGATGATCATATCCATAGCAGCCTACCTTGACAAAGAATTGCATCAAATGGATGTAAAAACCGCCTTCTTAAATGGTAACCTAGAAGAGGATATATACATGAACCAACCCGAGGGTTTTGTTGTGAAATGAAAGGAAAAGTTCGTGTACAAACTTAACAAATCACTTTATGGTCTCAAACAAGCTTCAAGCAAATGGTTCCTCAAGTTCCACCAAACTCTGATTAAATATGGATTCAAACCAAATGAGGATGTCCATTGTGTATACTAGAAGACCAATGGGACTAGCATTACTTTCGTGACTTTATATGTTGATGACATTCTAATAGCTAGTAGCACCCTAGACCATATAAGGGATACAAAAGTAATGCTATCAAGTAATTTTAATATGAAAGATAAGGGAGAGGCTTCATATGTGTTAGGGATTCATATTATAAGAGATAGAGCAGCCCGCACTATTCAATTATCTCAATCTACGTATTGCAAGAAAGTACTTGAGAGATTTGGTATGAGTGATCCAAACCTATAGATACACCTGTGGAAAGGAGAGGAAAATTAAATGTCAATATGAAACCAAACAATGATCTTGAGAGAAATGAGATGGAAAGGATCCCGTTTCGGAGTGTCGTAGGATCACTAATGTATTTAACCATGGGAACTAGACCCGATCTAACTTTGCTCAAAGCTTGATTGGTCGATTCCAAAGTGATCCTGGATTAGAACATTGGAAAGTCGTGAAGAGAATCATGAGGTATTTGAAAGGAACATTTGATTATGGATTAACCTATGGCAATGTGAGGGAGCTTAAAGTTTTGAGATATACAGACTCTGACTATCAAGGAGACCCGGATGACTCGAGATCCAATTCGGGTTATCTATTTCTTTATGGGGGTGGTGCCATTTCTTGACGCACCAAGAAGCAAGACATTATAGCCCTATCTACCATGGAAGCCGAGTATATGGCTTAAGTTCCGCAACTTTAGAAGCCATTTGGATTAAGAAGTTATTGAATCATCTTAACTTCAACCTTCTAAAACATGGAACTATTAGAAACATGTATGATAATCAAGCTGCAATAGTATTGGTAGTTGAACTAAGGTTCTACAGCAAGTCAAGGCACATTAAAGATCAATATCATAGAGTAAGAGAAGAGATAACAGCTGGTGAAGTAGAAGTTGGTTACATTCCATCTGAGGCTATGCATGCAGATCCATTAACCAAAGGCTTGGGGGCAAATGATTTTATGAGGCATGTGCATGGGATGGGTTTAAGGAGGTTGACATAGTTGTTATTACTTTGTCTATTGCTTATGAATGGTAAATCCATGGATAAGTTTGCATGCTTTGATTTATTGTGAACGATAATGAGAGAGAGAGATATACGAATTCAGGCCTCAAGAACGTTGGAAATATGACCTATCAAGACCTAAATTTCAGTAGTCTCTCATTCAGTGGGAGCGATTGAGTATTCGCCCTGTATGGAATGGTCAAGACTTATGGGACATAAGTCTGTATCCTGACACGAGACCATTGCATGGCATGTGTATTTTCATTTCGTACGGGAAGCTACTCTTCCAAATGTATTATCTGAGTTTGGAAGAGCCAGTGCACATGCGCTTTGAGAGGACCCCTGTAATTGAGTTGGATCATGTCCTACAGGGGTACACTGTAATCCATTGAGAGCCGAATGATCAGAAGTTGTGGCTCAGTGGCTTTGATATGACCAATTATATGTCTGTGCTTTTGTAACAATCCTAAAATTTCAAAAAAAAAAAAGAAAAAAGGAGAAAATATGTTTATAAATAGGTGATGTTCTGTTTGAGTATGATGGTCATTGGGGACCATCACTGTTTTCAAAAACTTTTGCTTTGAATTAACATTTGCTTGCCTTTACTTTTTCCTTTCCCCGCTTTTGCCTCCTGCTGCTTGCAGCTGGCAGCATCCTTTAGCGGACGTGGTTTTCGTACGATAAACGTTTGCTTTTAACGCGACACCTCAGGTATGAGGTAGAGCGTAAGAAAATAATATAATAATACGTTATAAGAATTTAAATAGGGGATGTGAGCACTCCCACCCTAAAACAAAACTTTGAGATCTCTCTCTGGTCGAAACACAGTGAACTTCTCTC